TTCCAACTCTAGGAATCTGCTGGAAAACCCTGATGCTAAAAGTACAATCAGAAGGGTCCCCCAAAAGTATAATACAGTGTGGGGAAACCTGGTAGTAGAACTACAGTGTGGGTGGAACACAGAATTGCTCTGGACAAGACAAAGTGACTAACAAATTTAATAAATAAATAAAAGCAATGAAAGATCATCAGTTTATCTAGTTCAGTATTGTCTACATACTGATTGCCAGTGGCTCTCCTGGGTTTCAGGCAGGGGATACTTCTAGCCTTACCTGGAGATGCTGAGATTGAGCATGGCCCGTTCTTTGTGCGAGGCAGGTGCATTGACCCTGAGCTATGACCCTTCCCCTTACTGTAGCCTTTCAGTAAACGAGATCAGGTTGTTTCAGGGCATTTTCTGGGATTTCCCATCACTGGCTCTTCATTAGTTAACCATTGCAAGACCTCTGCTTCACAGGGTTTGTTTGTTTGTATAAAGCTGTTGTTTTTTTTTTTTATAAAAAACCTGCCCTTCTAGTGCTTATCGCCACTTGGAAGAATTAATGCCAACTGTAGCACTAGGCGTACCAGCATACAAAGCCTAAAATGACTTGGAACCTATGTACATAAAAGAACACTTTCTATAGTATCAACCATCTCGGGCCTAAAAATTGACAAGTTTCATCAGGTCTCTAAATGTCAGGTTTACAAAAAGCAGATTTCTGGTGGGAAACTACCAATCATATCAGGCCCTATGATCAGCGGGTTTCCAAACTAGTTGAGCATCAGGTTTCTAAACTAGTTAGGTTCTCTGTTGGTGATGTTGCCACTGGGTGCTACCTGGTTTGCACTGGCCTTCTTGGTGGTGGCATCCAGTTTATGGAATCCTCTCCTTGGTGAGGTGTGTCTGACCCTCTCTTTATTAACTTGCTGGATTAATTTTAAAACATTCCTGGTTCCCCCAGGCACTTGATAGCTAATTTTTTCTGTTCCTGGCAACTTTGGAATTATTTGCTGTGAGGATAAGTGACTTTTTAAATATTATTGGGTGATTTAGTTCAGTATAGTCTATGCTGAATGACAGCAGCTCTCCGGGTTTTGAGGCAGAGGGCAGCCCTTGCCCTGTCTGAAAATGTCGGACCTGTGACCTTTTGCATTCAAAGTAGATCATTGCCACAAAAGGCTCATCCACACTTCTGCTTGTCTCATGCCTAGAAAGCACGAGCCCAACCAGTTTTTCCCTTGCCCTGTTTCCCCACCCCCAAGGAAAAACCTGATCTTTAGCTCTAAGTTAGGGCAAATGTCAATCTGGGGAAAACCTGAATTGCTGTTTGATCAGACTGACATCCAATAACAGTTTTCCCGGGGGGGGGGGGAAGCAGTAGGAGAAGAGGAACTGTGGATAAGCCCTAAGTTACACCCCTTCTGAACCATAAAGTACAGTAACACCCCAAATATATATAATATAATATAATAAAAACAGAGATAGGCATAGCAGATAAAGTAGGAGCATCAAATGAAACAAAAAAATCTGCCTAAACAAAAAGGTTTTTCGTCTGTTCTTTATCAGTAACTTGTATTCATAATCAGAAGGGTTCATTTCATCTTCATGAGTAGCATCAGCAGATAGATCCTATCCCATCCCTCATAACCTTGACATAACCTAAAGCCATCTTACTCAGTGGCCAACACAACTTCTTCTGACAATGCATTCCATATTCTGCTTGCCTATGGTGTGCAGAAATGAGATGGGAGGGCAACTTGGCATCATGGGCAAATGACTCCAGTGTGGCCATAGAGACACCCCACCCCCACCCCCGTTCTAACTCTCAAATGCAAATTGTAAGTGTAGTGTCTCTAATTGCAAAGGTCTTCCCAAAGATTGCCCACAAGCAGGCAATAACCTTCCCTTCCTTCTGTGCTTTACCAGTAGCATGCATTCAGGGGTACACTGTCCCTGAATATGGAGGCTCCATTTAGACATGAATTTGTATTTGAAAGCCACCTTACTTAGTGCCCATTGCCATGGGCAGTGCATTCCACAAGTCAGGGTTCACCAATCTTTTTAAGGGTTCACATTTGGATTTTTCGGCTGAGCCCACCCCATCTGGCCACCCCTCTGCCTCCACCACCAGAGTTATGGAAGGAGAAGGTGTGCACTCACATGCTTCACTCTTCCAAGCCATCTGAATAAAGCTCAGATCCAGCAGAGTTAATACAAGCCTTGAAAAACACATAGGGATGAAGAGGGAAGAGGGAAAGAGTGTCATTCTTCCAACTTTCTCCTCCAGCCCTGTGTACTACTCAAGGGAGGGGGGAAATGTAACAGTCCTCACCCCTTATGACCCGGGAGGGCAGTGAGTGGAGGTGTCTCAGAGGACGGGCAGGCATTGCGGAAAAGAACTCAAGTGCCCCATTGGTGCCACATTGCAACCCCTTCTGTACATTAGTTCTGTGTTGTTTGAAGAAGTCCTCTCTTTTCTTTTCTCTTGGTCTGCCCTGAATCTGCTGCCAACTCCCTCAGTTTTACCTGCCTTTCCCTCCAGATGGCAAAACACCAGTAAGAATCCCCCCCACCCCACTTTCTAATGAAGCCAAAAGATTAACAAAAACAAGGCGGCACCACTGAGGTTTGCGGGAGGGGTCGGAAGAGAGGGGAGTACAAATGAGTTCCTAGTCATTTTGCATCATTTTGGCACAGCCATGCTTTTAGATCCAGATAAAGACAGTGTCTGCAATGGTTAGCAAAAAACAAAACAAAACCCAACAAACAAAAACCAGTCAAAGAGATAGTTAAGGGTAGAGAACTATAAAAGCTAAGCGAACATGGAGTTTCAGCTTTGAACAGATGGAAGAGGATAAAAGGGGAAACAGCTGTAGAGAAGGTGGGAGCGTCAGAGATGGAATAATCAGACACTTAGAGAAGCAAGAAAGGGGAGGGAAGGAAGAGAGGATGTGTCCCTGGGCCTGGGGTGGGGGAAGAGGCACTGTCAGGTATGAACACCACCTCCGTTGATAAGACGGACATAAATACAGAGATAAGAATGAGTGACACTAATGCTTATAGGGTATGGGACCAGGGAAGGAAATGTGGTAGGCATGTGGGAATCTGCGATAAGGGGCAGTACATGTGTGAATTGCTAGAATTATACAGAGGAGGGCCGTGCTGGAGGGCAAGTGTGAAAGAAGGATCCTTTTCCACATCTCTCATTCATTTGTAGAGAGAAACAGATAAGGAAAGGACACACACACACACACACACAGAGAGAGAGAGAGAGAGAGAGAGAGAAAGAGAAAGAGAGAGAGAGAGCATTATGCAGTGTACCCTTTGGTGTGATTTTCTTCTGATGGTGGAGAGAAGAGGAAGGGAAACTGAGGAGCAGTCACATAGTTTACTTTGGTTTCACACACCAGTTTGCACCTTACTAAGAGCTGGTTCAGGGGCCCTTAGCATAACTTTTATTTTGGCCACTGAAAGTGGGGAAGAGCAATCAACAGTCTGATGTATGTCCACCTCAGTGTAATATTTCACAAACAGAAGTAGAGTGTGTTTGGAACATTCCAGTTCTACTACCAAGGGTCACTACTATAGTAAACCCACACCTACAATTTCCCACAGAACAACCTGCCCTCCACTGATTAAAAAACCAAGATGGTAACTATCTTTTTTCTTAGATATACGTGTGAGGTGGGGGGGCAGTTTTTTGGGGACGGAGAGAGAGAACTATCCTGCAAGACCAACCAATCAAGCCCTGTATATTGCTGAATTCTTCCCCTCCCCCATGTTCATTGCAACATGGGAAACACATGAGCTTTAAGTTGTTGGTGGGAGTTTGAAAAGGAATATACTTCCCATGGCACTGTGGGAGTTGTCCCAGAGCTTTGAGGGAATTGCACCTCATTTTCAGTTAAATGTAAGACAAAAGAATGGGTATTTCTTGACAGCTCCTTGTCAGATGTCTCGAATGTGGACATGCCCGATTCTCCAGAGAGTTTAATTCATCTGGATGGGTCTTCTGTGTTAGGGCATCTCCAGCAAAATCAGAGGCAACTGTGCATATTCAATGAGACGGGTTGCAGATGCCCACGGCAGAGCAGGCCTTGCATGCTGGCAGGGAATACTCTGCCATCTGGCTTGTTGTGCAGTGCTTGCTGATGAATTAACACCTAGGTCCAAGATGAGGCTGGAGTTACCTGCTCACTTTCGACAGGAAAAATTGTTGCTTGGGCAGAGAATTGATAAGCAGGAAAAAGACGCAGGAAAAGATAAATGAGGAGTGACGAGGGTACATTCAGCCCCCCCCCGGGGGGCATTTCTGTCTGTCCCTTGTGACCCTCCCCTAAGGTCATGCCCCCTTCCCAAGGCACACCCCCTCTGGCCCTGCTCCACACCTTCCTTGAGTACTTCAGCCAGGTAGGATGTATTACTGAACTGCGATAATGCCTTTTATTTGCCTGGATGGAAGCTTGCGTGTGTGTAAAGCTCTGATTTTCTGTAATGTAGCTTGTTGTGTGAAGGGGAGAACCCTACCCGCTTTCTACCTTCTGCCACATCCACCATATGCCACCCCCTGAAGTTTGCCAATGAGGAAATGTGGCCCCTTGGGCTGAGGAAGGTTTCCCATCCCTAAGATAATGGGGTTGTAATGAAGACCTCGGAGTCTCATCTTGCTGCTACGCCCTTCCTTCCACTTTTGATGGTGATGAATGATCTTCCTTATCAAGAATGGATGGTGCTGAAATATGCATTCTTTGATTTCATGCCAGCATTATGGATCACCTTTATAAAAGCAATGTTTTCTCCCAGGTGTATTCCCAAGCTGGATAACTTTATGGCTGTTCAGCGTTGCCTCAATCCAATATTTAGACAAAGACCTGTGTTCACTAGGAGTTCCTAGGAGTGAACTTAAGGGCGAATGTTTTCTGCAAGAAAGTAGGAAGGTGTGTGTGATCAAACTCTCTCCAGTGCAACCTTTAACACCAGTGCACTGGTGTTTTCAGCCATTATCAGCTACATGGAACGGCCATAGCTCAGTGGTATAGCATTTGCTTAGTATGCAGAAGATCTCATGTTCAGTCCCTAGCATCTCCAGGTAGGGGTGAGAATATGTCCTCTGAAACCCTAGATTTTAACATACATTCTGTCATGACCTTACAAGGAGCCTCTCGGGACTTCGTGGAAAGCATGGCCTCCATGGGGCTGTCCCTGAATAAGTTTGGCCCAACACATAGCCACAGACATGCCTTCGATCTGGTGTTCACCTTTATGGATGTGGGTGATCTGACGCTAAGTAAAAGTGAAACAAAAGAAGTGCCATGGTCGGATCACTTCCTGGTGCAACTGGATTTCTCTGTGACCCTTCCCCTCCACTGGGAGGTGGGACCAATTCGGATGGTCCGCCCTGCTACAATGGATCCAAATGGTTTCCAGAGAGTGGTAGGAGATGTTTTATCCCATGTTGATGGCCTTTCAGCTGATTCCCTGGTGGCCCACTGGAATGCAGAGTTAACCAGGGCTATTGACTATCTGACTTCGAAGTGCCCTCTCCAGTTGCATGGAGCCCAGACAGCCCCATGGTTTTCCTGGGAGCTGAGAGTGATGAAACAATTGCTGAGATGGCTAGAGCATCGGTGGAGGAAAACTCATTCTGAATCAGATCGGGCACAGGTAAGAGCTCAATGTTGAGCCTACCAAGTGGTGATAGGGATGACGAAGAGGACCTTCTTCGCTGCCTAATTGCATCTGCAGAAAACAGCTACAGGAGACTCTTTCAGTGGTTTGCAATCTAATGGAACCAGCTTCGTCATCGGGGCCTGATGAGCACCCCAAGATCTCCTGCAATGAATTCTTGCAGATAAAGTCACTCAGATTTGGAAAGAGCTAGATTTCACCATGGTAGTGGGGCCGGGCTGGGAGAGTGCTAGAGTCCTGTCCGGTCAAGTTGCATGGAATCAATTCCAATCTGTTAACTCCAAGGATGTGGACAAGCTGCTTGGACGAATGAAACTAGTCACCTGTCTCCTTGATCCTTGCCCATCCTGGATAATAAAAGCGAGCTGGGAAGGGCTGGGCAATGGGCTCTGTGGGGTGGTGAATGCCTCCCTCTGTGAGGGAGGTTCCCAGACCTATTTAAAGAAGTGGTTATTAAACTGTTTCTTAAAATACCATCTTTGGACCCAGCCGATATGGCAACAATCGCCCAGTTTCAAATCTTCCATTCTTGGGCAAAATGATTGAGCAGGTGGTCGCTGAACAACTCCAGGCATGCCTGGAGGATGCGGACCACTTGGATCCATTCCAGTCAGGATTCAGGCCTCATCATGGGACTGAAACTGCCTTGGTCGCACTGGTTGATGATCTCTGGCGGGCTAGGGACAAAGGTGAGATCTGTTTCCTAGTTCTGCTGGATCTCTCAGCAGCTTTTGATACCTTTGACCGTAACATCCTTCTGGACCATCTAGAGGGGCAGGGAGCTGGGGGCAGTGTTATACAGTAGTTCGCTCCTTCCTCCTGGACCGTGTTCAGAAATTGGTGGTGGGGGATGAGTGTTCAGACCCCTGGGCTCTCACTTGTGGGGTGCCTCAGGGTTCTGTCCTCTCCCCCATGCTTTTCAACATCTACATGAAGCTGCTGGGAGAGATCATCAGGGGGATTGGGCTGGACGTTCACCAGTATGCAGATGATACCTAGCTCTACCTCTCCTTCAAATCAGAACCAGTGAAGGCAGTGAAGGTCCTGTGTGAGTGTCTGGAGGCAGTTGGAGGTTGGATCACTTGGGCTACTGCAGTGCCTTTGAAGGTGACCCAGAAACTACAACTAATCCAGAATGCAGCAGCTTGACTGGTGACTGGGAGTGGCTAAAAAATCTTAATTTGTTCCCAGTGTGTTTACGAGCACAATTCAAAGTGTTGGTTTTGATCTTGAAAGCCCTAAACAGCCTCAGCCCAGTATACCTGAAGGAGCATCTCCACCCCCATCATTCAACCCAGACACTGAGGTCCAGCGCCGAGGGCCTTCTGGCGGTTCCCTCACTGGAGGCAAAGTTACAAGGAACCAGGCAGAGGGTCTTCTCGGTAATGGCACCATCCCTTCTTCAGATGTCAAGGGGATAAAGAACTACACAACTTTTAGAAGACATCTGAAGGCAGCCCTGTATTGGGAGGTTTTTAATGTTTGATGTTTTAGTATGTTTCAAGATATGCTGTGAGCCGCCCGGAGTGGCTGGGCAAACCCAGCCAGATGGACGGGGTATTAATAAAATAACTATAACTATAACAATGTTATTATTGCTATTATTCCAGACCTATGGAGCAAAGTATTAAGAGCCCCCTGCTTCACACCATGGTTTCAATCCATCTCCTCCCTCCCCCCGCATACCCTATTTATTTGTTACGCAAAAACCAGCAATATAACAAAACTACATAATAGAAGTCATGTTTACTATGGGTGTTCAAAGCAATCATTTTTGGTCACCAGTTGCCTTTGAAAAATTGGACTCATTCCCTCCTGCTGACACAATGCCACCATTATTTAGCCCCCTGTGCTTCATTAACTCCTGTGTGCACGCACACACATGCACACATTAAATGGCACACTTTAATTTAAAGTGGCAATGGCTCTCCTGTCTTCTGTTATTTTCAAACTTGCTTGCAGAGTCCGGCATTTGGGGGACATTGATTGCAGCTGAATTGCCCCTAACACCTTCAGTGTTTTACAGAAGTACAATACACCTGTCCTGGCTCTTGGAGGGCATATTTCTCTGCATGTGCCAAGAATCAATACAAACTCCATCTTTCCCACTTCTGCCTTGCACCTTGCCCCTCCTCAACCCTGTATCCTGTTACACATTTTGCAAAGGCAACTGGTAGAGACTGCAATTTCTTCTTGTCACAGAGAGAGAAAGAACATTCTGATATCTGGATTAACACAGAAAAAAAACCAGAAAGCAAGCTTGATTGATGAGAGAAACTCCAAAACACATTCCACACTTAATATTTGTGTCTGATATATGTCAGAGCAGAATTCAAGGTTAGGATACCCCTCTGAAGTTTGAAAGTACCTGAGAAGGAACACATCTGTTCTCCAGGCCAGATAGCTTTTCCTCATGTTAAAAGTGATTTTTGATGTAATAGGTTCTTGCTGGTTGAATAATTTACACTGCTTGTAGCACACAAAGAGCTGTGGTGGTGGTGGTATGTGTGCATGTGTGTACATGTATATGTAACCAGTTGATGCAATGGTTTGGAAGTGTTAAACTTTGTTGGGGAAGTGCAGGCTCAAATCTCTGTTTGGCTGCAAAGCTTTCTCTTCAGCCATAAAGCTCATTGGGTGACCTTCAGCCAATCCCTATCCTTCAGCTTCCCTTACAAGTTGGGGAAGCTGTGGCCCTCTGGATGCTGTGGCAGTTCTATTCCCATAATCTTTGACCACTGACTAGGTTGGCTAGTGCCGATGCGGCTTGGAATCTATCAACATCTGGAGTGCCACAGGTTCTCCATACCCACCCTGAACCGTGGTCAATGGTACTTTTGTGTTTAAACAAGCCAGCTTCACAGCCAGCTTTGAAGTTTGCTTGTTTCGAATAAAATTATATTTACATTAACCACAGTTTGCTGAGTTCAGATGCTTGAAGAAACTGTGGTTATGCAAAAATGGGAGAAAAAACTTCGATTTCCTCCTCACAATTATATTGGAGGGGGAAAATATGCGACCCTGAGGCTTGCTGTAGTTCATTCTCATCATTTTTAACAATGGTTTAGCATGTTGGCCAATGTGGTGCTCTTTAGATATTGTCAAACTCCAATTCCGATCATCGCTGACCATTGGCCATGCTAAGTGGGGCTGAAGGGAGTTGGAGTTCAACAACCTCTGGCAGGCACCACACTGGTTTAAGCATAACATCCAAGCTGGGTCAGCCCATAGGACCTGGTGAACTGGATGTAAGTCTCAGAGTGAGAGGTTCAGCTGGTGTTAGAGCCTCCTTTCAGACCACCTTATATTCTTCCCTCAATGCCAGCTCTTCAGCTGACTCATTTTTCAATTCTTTACCTTTCAGAATGTTATGTAGCCCTGAAGGCAGGTAGTAGAGCTGCAGCAAAGTGGTCTACCAAGAGCAATTCGTTAGCTGTTTCTCTCCAGTGAAAGCCACAGGAAGCTGTGACCTTCTTCTTCTTTTGTGCATTGCGGGGGTGGGGGTGTCTTATGAAATGTGGGACATGAAAATAAGAACAACCGTACATAGACTAATTGTGAACATGAAGTGAGAGGCAGCTTGTTTCATTATCGAGTTTTATAATCTCTGATTCCCCCAAATCTAGCAAGAACAGGTTATGTGAGGCTGGGAAAGTGAGAGAACATCTTGTTTGAAGAGAAGTAGACATCTAAGTCTGATGTTAGGAGCCAAGGGTAGGCCTGGAATATGAAACAACAGCTTTGTAATGACCCTCTAAAAGGGGGCATTTTATGTAAAGGAGCACTGACCTGGTGTTTCAAAACTTAATGCAAAGGTGGGAATCTCAGGTCTGGATCAGTAATTCAACTAAACATGGTCAATAGCCATTTCAGTAACCCACTATAGAAGGGCTTGGATATAATGCTAAACCATAGTTTAGTGTTACATGCACAAGTCTCAAGCTTGTGCACCCCCTCCCCCAAGGCTTCTCCTCTGGTATAGTTGCAAGGATATCAGAAGCATTTACTTCCATTTGAAATGAAACACATTGCATTGTTCATCTGAACAGGGTTAATTTAAACTTTAGTTCACCCAAAGAACTGAAGATCAATCCATGGTTTCTTATCCTACCTTGTTTGAATAAACCAGCAGGTGGGATGGGGGAGGGGCATGGGAAGGTGTCAGTGAGTGGCATGGCCTATGGAGAGTTCCAATGCCCTTATATACATTTGTCCCCCAGGCCTGAGTTCCCCTGAGTTCTCTTTACTATCAACTTATCTCCCTCTTTACCTCCCTCTTTAGAACATGAGTGGACTACACTGACTGACAGTCATTCACCTACTCAGGGCCAAACCAGATGCAATGACAACAATTTGATTATGCCTCTCTAGCACATGAAGTTTAGTCCATAATGAGGCCA